GATGTAATCCATGTTGTAAACTGATAAACCATTAGATTTAACACTTTTCAATATTGTAAAGTTACATGTATCAATGAAATGTATGTGCACATTTCCCCTACACACAAAACAGTCTGATAACAAAATATCTCAAGATAAGAGCTCATTTATTTTAAGTGCAAATGTAAAAAATAATAATTGAAACTGACAAATCAGGGCATGCATAGCAATATAGGCAGTGGGATGAAGGGAGCCGATGTGTCATGCATTGGAATAGTTATTACAATAATACATTGCAGTGCTAGCATCAGACAGTACTGAACTCATTAATGCATTCTCTGTATGGGACACAGTCGGGTCTTGGCCTTGATGATACATCCCTCCTTCTGCCATGGTTACACAGTCCAGGTACTGATTGAACTCTGCTTTGTAAACACGACCCAATGTATTAACATGCTGCATGGAAGGTTCCTCTCCCGGTATGGACTCGGGGGGTGGGGAGAGATACCCTGGTAGAACCATCTCATGCCTGCTGGATACAAACGATTGTTCATAATACATTGGTGGAGGCTGTTGGCACCCAATCATATTGTTCATTGGGCTACCTTGGCCCACCTGTTCAGCCTGGGACAATTGGTTGAAGGAGCAAGAACTCTGCTCGTTGGAATAGGTGGCACAGAACATTGCAGGGCTAGCATCAGGCAGAACTGAACTCATTAATGCATTCTCTGTATTGGACACAGTCCGATATTGGTTATGATGATACATCCCTCCTTCTGCTGTGGTTGCATAGCCCAGATACTGATTGAACTCTGCTTTGTAAACACGACCCAATGTATCAACATGCTGCGTGGAAGGTGCCACTCTGGATATGGACTCAGGGGGTGGGGAGAGATACCCTGGCAGTACCATCTCATGCCTGCAGGATACAAATGATTGTTCATAATACATTTGTGGAGGCTGTTGGGACCCAATCATATTGTTCATTGGGCTACCTTGGCCCATCTCTTCAGCCTGGGACAATTGGTTGACAGTTAATAAGATGCAAGGACTCTGCTGGTGGGAATTGGTGGTATTGTATGAATAGGGCACCACTTCTTGGGCAGAAGATGTAAAATACAAAGAGTCAGCTTCAGCCAAATTCACTGGTGACGCTTCCGGTGTGGGCAAGCTGTAGTCGAAGTGGTGGTCTTTACAGTGACTGGTGCTCTGTGGAAGCTGAGAGTGGCAATAGGACTGGTCTTGGTTATAGCCAATACTGAAACTGTCCAAACACATCCTCCCATCAGTACTGGACTGCTCTGACTGTTTCTTTATGCCAATAAATCCATTTCCCGATCTCTTCTTCTTTTGATCCAGTTTACGTTTTTTAGGCTTTTTTGTGTGGTCCTGGGTGTGCTGCTCTTTCAGTCTCTCCGCCTCCACAAAAAAAGGCATTTTTTCAGTTCTTGTTAAAGCCCTCCATACTTTCCCTGCAGAGGAGACACGAAAAACAAACAATTAGGATTTCAGCCATGGGAGATTGTGTAAAACTGTTTGTAACAAATGTTTAAAATCCATAACCCAGTCTGGTGGATACAATGCATCCCGGTGGATACAATGTGTTAGATACTTTAGTACACTGGACATTCTCAGTAAGAACACTGATAAAGTTCAAATTATTAAGAACAGCAGGAGAATTAAATGTCATCCCGGGAAACAATATACTATACATTTTATGCATTATTAAAGTTATCATATTTACTGATAGTTAAGAATGCAGTTTAATGAAGATAAAATATGAACAAAAAATATATTTTTTTAAATAATATATTTAAAAAAATAGTAATCAGTAATTTTAAAATATAAGAGTTTGTCATTTAATAAAATGTTCAGACAGAAGGAGTAAAGTTGCCTTTTCTTACCTAGTATTTTGCTCAGCTCTCCTTTCGGAAGGCCTGAGTTCTGCTGTGCCAGCCGCTTTCTCTCGTCCATGGCCCAGACAACAAATGCATTCTTGGGTCGGCGGACCCGAGTCTCCGCTTGGCTACTCATGTTTGCACATTCCGCTCTCAATTCGCTGCTCATGGCTTAGACTGAGAGGTGATCACTAGTGAATTGCTCCATCAGCCTGCTCAAAGTTCTAATACCAGAGTACAAGCCAATCAGTGAGCTAAGGGGCGGAGCTTTACCTGAACTGTGCAACAGGCAACGCTGTGATTGGTTGTCTTTGTTCTCCTTCTCCCCTCCCACAGGCAGGTATCAGCACATTGGGGGCTGGTGTCAGAGGTAGGTAGGCAGCCCAGCCCCATGGTGTTAGTTTCAGGGTTTGAACAATGTAAGGGGGGATTTCCTCTATCACATTCAGGTCAGACTAATAAACTCAGAGCACAGTATTGGGAGTTACCATGATCCCACATTTATCATTTATTATCAATTAAACATCAATGGTGGGAAAAGTCCTGGGATGTTCAATAGAAAGCACTGGCATGTATCCTGTCTGCCAATAGAGCGCTGTATTCTACTGAGCAATATTAAACATTAAGGTGCTGGGGTGGGGGAGTCTGGATTAGTCTCGGTGCTGTCACACATCCAATTAGCCATAGATCGAGCTAATATATGACAGTTTTTTAAGTGCAAATCTATGTGATCCTTTTTATGGGAGGCTGAATAAGAGAATTCTATCAGCATTAGAAACAATATCATCCCTGAAAGGTCTACACACACAAAGGGCTATTTACTAACTATATGTTGACTGAAACCAATTCCAGACACAGACTTATTGCAGACAGAGCACTGTTACACATTCTGGGTTATTCACTAAGCTGCGAACTGTGAGACGGAAAGTGAATTTCATAGTTTATGTTACAATAACCAAAGTACAAACCTATCTACCTGGGACAATTGGTTGAAGGAGCAAGAACTCTGCTCATTGGAATAGGTGGCACAGAACATTCATTTATTATCAATTAAACATAAATGGTGGGAAAAGTCCTGGAATGTTCAATAGAAAGCACTGACATGTATCCTGTCTGAAAATAGAGCACTGTATTCTACCGAACAATATTAAAAATTAAGGTGCTGGCTTGGGGGAAGGGGTGGGGGAGTCTGGATTAGTCTCTGTGCTGTCACACATCCAATTAGCCATAGATCGAGCTAATATATGGCAGTTACACTTTGCAAGGAAAACTAATTCATTTTGGGATTTTTTAAGTGCAAATCTATGTGATCCTTTTTATGGGAGGCTGAATAAGAGAATTCTATCAGCATTAGAAACAATATCGATGCTGAAAGGTCTACACACACAAAGGGCTATTTACTAACTATATGTTGATTGAAACCAGTTCCAGACACAGAGACTAATGCAGACAGAGCACTGTGACACATTCTGGGTTATTCACTAAGCTGCGAAATGTGAGACGGAAAGTGAATTTCATAGTTTATGTTACAATAACCAAAGTACAAACCTATCTACCTGGGACAATTGGTTGAAAGAGCAAGAACTCTGCTCATTGGAATAGGTGGCACAGAACATTGCAGTGCTAAATATCTAACAATTCATATTTCACGGAATAACCGTCATATCTTTTCTCACAGTAAATAATAATTCCATCTTTATAAAACTGTGAGTCCATTATCTAACGGGTTATTTACTAAATGAGAATTCAATGTGAATTTACACTGTAAAGTAGCCGACCTGGAAGCACAGGTGACTTAGAGAATATCTCCAGTTTGGTTATTTTTACCTTGATTTGAAATTCACTTAGAATTCACGCTAATAAATAACCGTCTTAGAAATTCTAAGCCACCATGGTCAGTACATTTCAAATCCTGGAAAACTGCAAAAACAAGCAATTTTTTTTTTTTTGCCTTAAATCTTTTGAAATATATGATAGAGAACATTTGTGTATGTCCTGTAAAGTCCTGCACTTTTTATCTTTGAATTCCCTATTTTGATGTGGCAGCAATTTTTATGTCCTGCTGAACTGTCTGCTAAAAATGTTCTGATATATATATATATATATAGATATATATATATATATATATATATCTATATATATATATATTTATTAATTTTTTCATTATTTTTTTTTTTTTTACATTCATTATTTATATCTTGTTTTGTCATATGAATGTTAAGCATAAGGAATGACGGTAGGGTGAATTCAATAAAGAATATAACTTGCTATTTAGCTGTCTGTAATTTGTGTTAAATCACTGCCATATTGTATACTTATGTCATACCTAAATATTCACTGATTGTTGTCATGCATTTTACGTATTATTATTAATTATTGTCACAATAAATAAAATTTTTATAATCAATTTGTGAATAATGGGTGAAATAAAAATCCTCTAATGAAACGAATTTCAGGATCTATGAGAATTAAAAATAGTGGGTAGTTCTCAGCTTTAAATTAATGTAATCGGGGAAACAGTTCCAAGATATTAATTTTGATATAATAAAAATTTAATACATTTTTGATAATTTTTATGAAAATATTATTTTTTATATTTAAGACCCCATTAATATCCTCACAATTTACTTGGCTAGTTCTTGTTCCTGATCATAGCAGAGAGAGAGTCCTGGTCAGGACGAAGGCTCTGCTACATAAGCTTCCTTTAAACATACTGCTGTATCAGACTTATTGCTTTAACAAGGAGATCCATGTGGAGCCATTGACAGTTTTCCTAATGTTTAAGAATATTTAAACCGAAACATACCACTCCTGTGTTGTGCTTCTCAAAACATCAATTATGATTATCTTTTATTAACCTGGTTGATTTAGGATTTGTTATTGATGTAATCCATGTTGTAAACTGATAAACCATTAGATTTAACACTTTCCAATATTGTAAAGTTACATGTATCAATGAAATGTATGTGCACATTTCCCCTACACACAAAACAGTCTGATAACAACATATCTCAAGATAAGAGCTCATTTATTTTAAGTGCAAATGTAAAAAAAAAATATTTGAAACTGACAAATCAGGGCATGCATAGCAATACAGGCAGTGGGATGAAGGGAGCCGATGTGTCATGCATTGGAATAGTTATTACAATAATACATTGCAGTGCTAGCATCAGACAGTACTGAACTCATTAATGCATTCTCTTTATGGGACACAGTCTGGTCTTGGCCTTGATGATACATCCCTCCTTCTGCCATAGTTACACAGCCCAGGTACTGATTGAACTCTGCTTTGTAAACACGACCCAATGTATTAACATGCTGCATGGAAGGTTCCTCTCTGGGTATGGACTCGGGGGGTGGGGAGAGATACCCTGGTAGAACCATCTCATGCCTGCTGGATACAAACGATTGTTCATAATACATTGGTGGAGGCTGTTGGCACCCAATCATATTGTTCATTGGGCTACCTTGGCCCACCTGTTCAGCCTGGGACAATTGGTTGAAGGAGCAAGAACTCTGCTCGTTGGAATAGGTGGCACAGAACGTTGCAGGGCTAGTATCAGGCAGAACTGAACTCATTAAAGCATTCTCTGTATGGGACACAGTCTGATATTGGTTATGATGCCACATGGAAGGTGCCACTCTGGGTATGGACTCGGTGGGTGCGGAGAGATACCCTGGCAGTACCATCTCATGCCTGCAGGATATAAATGATTGTTCAAAATTCATTTGTGGAGGCTGTTGGGACCAAATCATATTGTTCATTGGGCTACCTTGGCCCATCTCTTCAGCCTGGGACAATTGGTTGACAGTTAATGAGATGCATGGACTCTGCTGGTGGGAATTGGTGGTATTGTATGAATAGGGCACCACTTCTTGGGCAAAAGATGCAAAATACAAAGAGTCAGCTTCAGCCAAATTCACTGGTGACGCTTCCGGTGTGGGCAAGCTGTAGTCGTAGTGGTGGTCTCTACAGTGACTGGTGCTCTGTGGAAGCTGAGAGTGGCAATAGGACTGGTCTTGGTTATAGCCCATACTGAAACTGTCCAAACACATCCTCCCATCAGTACTAGTCTGCTCTGACTGTTCCTTTATGCCAATAAATCCATTTCCCGATCTCTTCTTCTTTTGATCCAGTTTACGTTTTTTAGGCTTTTTTGTGTGGTCCTGGGTGTGCTGCTCTTTCAGTCTCTCCGCCTCCACAAAAAAAGGCCTTTTTTCAGTTCTTGTTAAAGCCGTCCATGCTTTCCCTACAGAGGAGACAAGAAAAACATGAACAATTAGGATTTCAGCCATGGGAGATCGTGGAAAACTGTTTGTAACAAATGTTTAAAATCCATAACCAAGTCTGGTGGATACAATGCATCCCAGTGTCCCTGTTAGATACATTGTTACACTGAACATTCTCAGTAAGAACGCTGATAAATGTTCAAATTATTAAGATCAGCAGGAGAATTAAATGTCATCCCGGGAAACAATATACTATACATTTCATGCATTATTAAAGTATCATATTTACTAATAGTTAAGAATCCAATTTAATAAAGATAAAACATGAACAAAAAATATTTTTAAAAAAACTCAATAAAAATCAAACTTACACGAAATATTTTCCGGAATAAAAATAAAAAAAAATGTCTCAGTAATTCTAAAATATAAGAGTTTGTCATTTAATAAAATGGTCAGACAGAAGGAGTAAAGTTGCCGTTTCTTACCTAGTATTTTGCTCAGCTCTCCTTTCGGAAGGCCTGGGTTCTGCTGTGCCAGCCGCTTTCTCTCGTTCATGGCCCAGACCACAAATGCATTCTTGGGTCGGCGGACCCGAGTCTCCGCTTGGCTACTCATGTTGGCACATTCCGCTCTCAATTCACTGCTCATGGCTTAGACTGAGAGGTGATCACTAGTGAATTGCTCCATCAGCCTGCTCAAAGTTCTAATACCAGAGTACAAGCCAATCAGTGAGCTAAGGGGCGGAGCTTTACCTGAACTGTGCAACAAGCAACGCTGTGATTGGTTGTCTTTGTTCTCCTTCTCCCCTCCCACAGGCAGGTATCAGCACATTGGGGGCTGGTGTCAGAGGTAGGTAGGCAGCCCAGCCCCATGGTGTTAGTTTCAGGGTTTGTACAATGTAAGGGGGGATTTCCTCTATCACATTCAGGTCAGACTAATAAACTGAGAGCACAGTATTGGGAGTTACCATGATCCCACATTTATCATGTATTATCAATTAAACATCGATGGTGGGAAAAGTCCTGGGATGTTCAATAGAAAGCACTGGCATGTATCCTGTCTGAAAATAGAGCGCTGTATTCTACTGAGCAATATTAAACATTAAGGTGCTGGCCTGGGGGAAAGGGGGGCGGAGTCTGGGTTAGTCTCTGTGCTGTCACACATCCAATTAGCCATAGATCGAGCTAATATATGGCAGTTACACTTTGCAAGGAAAACTAATTCATTTCGGGGGGGTTTTAAGTGCAAATCTATGTGATCCTTTTTATGGGAGGCTGAATAAGAGAATTCTATCAGCATTAGAAACAATATCATCCCTGAAAGGTCTACACACACAAAGGGTTATTTACTAACTATATGTTGATTGAAACCAGTTCCAGACACACAGACTTATTGCAGACAGAGCACTGTGACACATTCTGGGTTATTCACTAAACTGCGAACTGTGAGACGGAAAGTGAATTTCATAGTTTATGTTACAATAACCAAAGTACAAACCTATCTAACTTGGAGAATTTTTATAGTTTGTGTATTTTGGTCTATAATGTGAAATAGATTTTAAATATCTAACAATTCATATTTCACGGAATAACCTTCCATATCTTCTCTCACAGTAAATAATAATTCCATCTTTATAAAACTGTGAGTCCATTATCTAACGGGTTATTTACTAAATGAGAATTCAATGTGAATTTACACTGTAAAGTAGCCGACCTGGAAGGACAGGTGACTTAGAGAATATCTCCAGGTTGGTTATTTTTACCTTGATTTGAAATTCACTTAGAATTCACTCTAATAAATAACCGGCAATGTATAAAGTGTAGTAATCAGGACCAGCCCACGGGGGTCCAGCTGGGGCAACTAGACAATGGGAACACATAGAAAGGGGCAATAAAATGTTACCATGGGCATGTCATAAGAGGGGAGAGCTGGAATGAAAGGAGGATGGTGGTAGAATTAAAGGAAGAATAAAATAGGAAAGAATCGGAGATACAAGGAAAGCCGGAATAAAAAGAGAGACATGGATTCTTGGAGAAAATAGTGAGACAGCTGAAGATAAGGAAAAGGGAGATCTGGAATTAAAAGATCAGATGTGAAACCTGGATAAAGAGGGAATAGAGAAACAGAAATAGAGGGAATGGATATGGAATAAAACAAGGAGAAATACAACTAGAATAAAAAGAAACAGAGAGATGGATAAAGGAGAATGAAAGATTTACAATAAGAGAAAGAATAGAACTTCATTAAACAGGGAGAAGGAGACAGAAAGGAGACAAGAGAAGACACGTAACAAATAAACAGAATAATGAAAAACCAGACCCTGACAGAGAGAGTAAAGAATAATGTGAACAGACCTTGACCCCCAACACACAGACTCAAAAATACCCAGAAATTCTCATAGATTGACCATCCACTCAGATACTGCTTGGCATTCACATACACCCTGTGAGAGGCACCGTGTAAACACACATCATGTGAGGGTGGTCAGCCCCATCTCAGCACAGATCTAGAATTTTTCCGTAATATGTAATAATATATTTAACAAGAATCCGAGCCCTGTACTGATTGATTTTAGCCTGTTAGATTTATTGTACCCACTTATAGGGTTTCAGAACCCGCTATCAGACCAGATATAGTATGAGGCTGCTGGGTCAGTACCCTGTGATTGCAGTCACTGTTACCACAGGGGGGGAAACATTGTGGGAAGGGGATTTCATGTTATAACAGGCTATCAGGTTTGCTGGTGGAATCTGAGGCTACTTTTAATATCTCAATTAATAAATAAATAAATAAAAAATATTAGGAATTTGGAGGCACAGCTAGAAAATGCATTTCTCAGTACTGGTATGACTATAAATGTTTCATGTAGACAAAGTGCACATTAGGGGAAATTCACAATGAATGAAGAATGAATGTTACAAGGCTACTTTATACAACTATCTTAGTAAATATAGTTGGATACAGTCACACCCATAATGTGGCCATAATTTGTTTAAACCGAAATAGTAAAATTCCCCAGAATTAACATCACACAGATCAGTAATTTCTCCTCATGTTTATTTGACACCTGCAGGCATATTAATGGGATACAATAAGCAGGTTATATTACTGACTGTGACCGCTATTACTGGTTTCTGCTGCACTACAATGCACTGTCAGCAATCAATGTATCCTGGGGGTAAAACCTGCCAGTGCCCCTCCCTCATATTGTACAAACTCTACAAATGATACAATAAGTTTTGGTTTTTTAATTGTAATTTGGGCCAATACACATTTTTCTTAGAATTGTAAATGCCCCCAACAGCTCTCAGAACATTTACATTATTTACATATGTAATATGCGATCTGAAAGCTATTCATTGGGCAGACACTGTCTGACTGCACTAACATCTGTGTAGACAGATATATTAACAGCAAAGGATGAAAAATATTAAACCAAATTGATCTATTTTAGCATTCTTGTATTTATTTGTTACCATTTAAACAAAGTGTCTTGGATCCTGCCAGGAGTTGGATATAAGATGTATAGAGAATATTTGTTCACTAGAATAAATATTCACAACATAGCAGCTAACAGAATACTCTCTAGTGTAATAAGTACAATATAAACAATTCATAAACCAATTCACTGAATTTTCAAGCCACCAAGGGTAGCGCTTTCCACATTCTACACAACTGCAAAATTGAGTATTCTTTTCCAAAAAATAGAAAAATAAGAAAATCCTTCAGCAAACAGTTGTACAGGACATGAAAAGTGTCACTATACAGAGGTTTCCAAAGTCACCAAGTGCAGCAGTTTTCACGACCTGCACAAATGCATTAAAACCCCCCCCCAAATACAGTGGTTTGCAAAGTCACCATAGAAAGCCCTTTTAATGTGCAGCACAACTAGATAAAAATGTGGGGGGGGGGGTTAAATTCAAAAGGAAAATCTTTTAGCAAACAGTTGCTCAGGGAGCGAAAAGTACTCCCAAACAATACAGTGGAATTGTAAGCCACCATGGTCAGTACATTTGAAATCCTGGAAAACTGCAAAAATAAGCAATTTTTTTTGCCTTAAATTTTTTTAAAATCTTTTGTAATATCTTTTAGAGAACAGCTGTGTAGGTCCTGTAAATACCTGCCCTTGGTAGCTTTGAATTCCCTGTTTTGGTGTGGCAGCAATTTTTATGTCCTGCTGAACTGTCTGCTAAAATGTTCATGTACAAAATAGTGCAATATTGCCTGGGTGCAATCCTCAGCGTTTAAATATAACAAAAATCAATATAGAAGGAGCACTCACAGGTCTTCATATGAATACTAATTTATTCCAAGGTGCAAGTTACATGTGCAATCGACGTTTCGACCCTCACAGGGTCTTCTTCAAGATCCAGATCCAGATCTTGAAGAAGACCCTGTGAGGGTCGAAACGTCGATTGCACATGTAACTTGCACCTTGGAATAAATTAGTATTCATATGAAGACCTGTGAGTGCTCCTTCTATATTGCTTTTTGTTATATATATATATATATATGTTTTTGACATTCTTTATTTTTATCTTGTTTTGTCATATCAACATTAAGCATAAAGAATGACAGTAGGGTAAATTCAATAAAGAATGAAAACATGGGTACATTGCAAGATGTAATACTGTCAGTTAAGGAGTTATGGAAACAAGGATTTTATGTATATATAATGAAATGATGGTGAAAATAGTACGGTCTGCTTATGAACAACACTCCTAAATAAGGTCATGTGCGTGTTCTAGGGACCTATGTGTGAGACCTAATAAGTGTCTAGCCCTGGGAAGGCCATATGTATTTATATTTAAAGTTCCATGAAAGTCGATTGAGTAGTAAGAGTAGCCAAATATTGGTGTCTGTAGGTATAGTGTAAAACAGCTAGCAGTATTATGGAGTCGGTGGGAGCATTAACAGTGCCCAACTACCTTTGAGCACTATGGAGGGGGGAGGAGCGGTAGTGTGCGTCTGGAGCCCTGGACTTGGTGCGGTAGTATGTGGATTCTTTAGTCGAACCTATATAAAATAAGAAAAATAAAAAATAATGTAACAGATATGCATAACAGCTGAAACACTCGAACCATGTTAAGTGCAATCTGAAGTCTGGCTTTTGGTCTGTGGTAAAATAACTAAAAGGAAAAGAGTCAGGTCTGTTTCAGCCAGGGTCCACTCCCATGCAGGGGACAAAGGGAACGATATTCTGCATGTCCCAGCGGCCCTTTGCAGTGGGGTCAGGAGCCTTTTGTAGGATGAGGCCCAGCTTAGGAAGGAAGGAGTCGGAGGCCTCTGGCGATGTCAGCATGTAGGTAGTGCCATCTTTCGTGGCAATGATGGTGTGTGATGGGCCTCATTTAAATTTAATGTTGGCCCCCTAAGAGCTTGTGAGACCGGCAGACCGAGCGTCTCCAATTAAAGGTGGCCCTGTATAAGTCTTGGAGAAAAGTAAGTTGCATGTCCTCAAACTTGTATTGGACTTGTGATTTAATCACCTATAAAGCTGCCGTCTTGCCCCAGAATGACTGGAAACGTAGTAGGACTGCTTCAGGCACCCTGAGGGACTTGGGAAGTTGGTAAGAGCCATCTAGTAAGGCAGTTTTTGCTTGCCGGAGTGATAATAGGATTCAGAAAAGACATCTGAGGAATTGTGG